GTTTTCATGCTAAAGCTTCTGGTTCCCATTCCGTAACTACAAAGAAAGGAGTTTCTATAGCTGCACATTTCTCGAACACTCCAAGTTGAGTTTAAAAGATGTCTTCTGCCTATCTGCGTATTGGGCCAAACACAGAAGGTTCACATACGAAGATGTAGCAGCGGAAATGCTCCGTGAAAGGGGGAGCAAACTAGGCACCTACATTTTAGTTGATTACAAGTTTGTTTGCACAGAACATTTCCTAAGACATCCTTTAAAGATCGGGAGCCCTGGTAAGGTAGTGGACATTGACGAAAAACTCCTTACCAGGAAAAAGTATAACAGAGGTAGGGTCAAAGAGAAGCAGTGGTTTCCTGGAAACATTGAGCGAGGGACCAATAAGTGCTTCGTATTTGCGGTGGAGCGATGAGATGCTGCTACTCTTCTGCCACTGATCAGGCAGTATATTGTGAAAGGAACAACTATAGTGTCTGATCAGTGGGCTGCATACGGTGCCAATAAGGGCATGCCAGAGGGATACCAGCATGAGACTGTCAACCGCAGTTTCCACTTTATTGATCCTGAGACCGGTGCTAACATAAACAGCAATGAGTCTCTATGGCAGAAATTCAAGGAGAGCCACAAAACACTACGAGACGGAAAGAGCACTACTGACTTCGCATATGAACAAATTCGTATGGAAAACTGTATGAAGGCAATGCGACGTACCACTTCTTGGCTCATATGACGGAACGCTAGCCACCGGCCCACAGGTTCCGTTTAAAAGTGCAGGCTTATCTATCAACTCCTGATCGGTCTGCCTTATAACAGTCCAATTTTTGGAAAGTCCCTCGTAGCTAGAATCCTAATGCGGCCTTTCTTCCAAGTCTTCCGATCTGAGGGAGAAGCGAAATATGAGTGTAAATGTAACGTCAGTGTAGACGCTCAGATACACGCAGAACTCTCTTCTTTACCCGTAACGGAAACAAGCCACCAACTTCCACCCCAGGTGCCGCATCTCCTACCGCTGCACCTCACACCACTTGTTTCAGTCACCGCTCCACAAACTCTTCTACGCTTCATCGTCTTGTTTGCCTCATACTGCTATTCCACGTTAAGTAATCACCCATTGTTACAAAAAGTGAAACCCGTCCACAATGTCTCACAATTGTTTTAAATCTCCAACTGCACAATGTGCATTCCCGGCATCACAAAGGGATTTATTGACTCTTAAGCAAGGTTAACACGGTCAACATGTCTCCTCGGGTGTTTGAAGCTGTTCAAAGCTGACGCCGACGTCGATCTAGTCGCAGCTTGCCGGGCCATCCCCCATATATTTATTTGAGAAAAGACCCCTCTCCCCAAATAAATACATAGGGCCGTCAATCGACAAAAGCTCCGGCAATTTCACTTATGCTCTATGTCGTCAGGTAGAGTAACTGTGTGTTGCTCAATTGCTGCTGGCTCATGCAGGGTGCCGCCGGGCTGGTGGTTCCATCCCCGCGTCCGGTGGGCAAGATTTCTTCGGGAAGTCTGCCTAGTGGAGAAAAAAATGAAGCCACCAATCTAAATGAGCTCCGAATTTTACAGCTTGTGTTATAGTTGCTAAACTGTGGTGACTGTTAACTGTCCGCTGCTTATACCTGACACAATCAATAGCACTTTATTCGAGGATATTTCTCAAAAACCCGTGATTTATATAAAGTTGCGGTTTCTCTTTACATAATTCAGATGTGCTGTCCTAACCGCTGACTTAAAATTTCAATAAATAGAGCGCATAGAAACCAAGCAGTTTTCAGCTGCACCGTGAAGGATAGAATGACATAGCGCCGAGAAATGCGAGCTTTGGGAAAGTGACCTTCAAAGTCGGACCAGCTTCCTTTGAGACGCAATTCATCCCTTGTAAATCCAAGGGAATAAGACTTCTGAACCTTTTTTCTTCTACCTCCAATCCTAAGTGTCAGCAGCTAACACCAGCTCTATCTTTTAGTTTAGAGCTTAGTAGCGCGACCTAAAAATTTCTTCTCGCTCCTTAACTGACACGAGTGCTGCTTACACAGAATTTGTAAAACTTCCTTGTACGAATTTTGTATCATAAAATGCTGCTTTGTCTTTTTTCGTCCCCACTGCACTTAAAAGTCATCTCTTTCATGAACTTTAGCACTCTTCATTTCGTCTTCTCGCCCACCGGTCATTTCAGCTATCCTATGCCGCTTCTTCCACGGCATACAACAGCCCAAGGCTCAGAATTAGCTTAGGAACTAAAAGCCTTCAATGCTTTAACAGTTGGCGAGTGTGCATAAAACTCCTGCCAATGAATCCGTTTTTCAGAATTCCTTTACGAAGCATGTTTCTGATAGATGACCACCTTTTTTGAAGATGACAAAAAGACGTCCATTTTTTAAATTTTACCTAGAGTTCGGTTGTGTGCGCATCAACAGCTACAAAAGTAGTGCAAAAGTAGGATTACTGCCCTCTCAAGAATTATTCAAATTACACTTAGAAAAAACTTTGAAAATTCTAGCTCTTGAAACGTACTTTAAAAAAATTCTACCCCCGTCCTCGAGAATTAAGGTAACTTAGCTACCAAAATAACAAAATAACGAAAGGAAGTATTGTATCTTTCCGATAATCCAAATCGCCATCTACACACGTACGTCAGTCTTGAAAACTTTAGGCAAAAGAAAAAAAAAAAACAAAAAAGGCTTACCTAATACCATCAGCAGCCCCCAACACACTACTGATTGCAGTTTACCAACAGCAACAGCCTTTTAGCGACTTGGAGCTATCGAAAAAAATCAGACCTCTTAAGCCGCCAAATTTGCATCTTTTAATACAAAAACCGGCTAGCAAACTTCAATAAAACTTTTAAAATTTCACTGTGGAAAAAACTTAAAATCCTCCCAAAAAAACCAGCTCCAGTAATATGAACAAGCTAGAACATCAGACCATCAGCCTTCAATCCTGAGAAATAATTTTAGTAGCCAAACAAATCCAAGGAAACAAAAAATAAACCAAAAAGACGTAAAAAAAATAAGACCTTTCATTACAAATAACTGAAATCTATACAGAGCCCCAAGAGTTCGAAAGCAAACGAGACTTTGAAATCTTCAAAACTATCTTGCAAGAAAAAAAAGTAAACTTCAAACAAACTGGATGTAATAGACGCTCGCGTTAATCACCAAAAACAAAAAAAGTACAAAGCTGATATGTAGAAAAATTCCAGTAATTGGCCACAGACGAAGAAAGAAAATTCTAATAAAACTAACTACCAGAAAAAATATGGCGGGAAACAATTCAACTACATCAACGAAATAAAAGCAAAAAACAAGAAATTATCAAGATCATGTATACAAAAATAAATAGTATTTTAAGAACAACACTTCTACACATGTAGCAACTCCTGATCTCGAAAAAAAAAAATCAGAAATTATACCACTTCTTTTTTTCATATTTCTCCACAAGTCTGCTCGCTTTTTGCGAAAAAGACATCGCATTTTCCATAAGTCGCTCGGTAGCGTCAACTGTGGCATTTAGTTTCTCTCCTCTTTCGTTGATGGCCTGTAAAACATTGATGAGTTTAATAAGATCGAACGAGGAACAATTTTTACATGACAGCTACAAACCAAGCCTTTTCAGAATAAATGTGACCAAACCCAAAACAGATCAGTAGCTGTTGAACCGATATCCAAGCATTTTTTGGCAAACTATTTGATTCTTCTTTTAAAACTTCAAGAAATGAGGGTTTTACTAAAGTATTAGTTTTACCTGCACTGCAGCGCTTGCAGCATGACCTGCTGTTACTACTCTGCTGCTGGCCAAATCAATGCTGGCTGAAGGGCCAGGAATAGTTCTACCAACGGAACGCATTCCACTTCCGGACATAGCTCCAGCTGCCTTTTCAGAGACTGAAAGAATTGGTGTCATCGTCTAGTATCTAATGTAACAACAATGGTAGAAAAGTGAATTTTCTGCAGAAGTTCCTTCAGTAGTACAAGAGAACATTACATATTGAGTCAAGATCTATTTCCTCCTTATGAGCTCCAACAAATAATGTAGAAACGCCTTTGAAGAAGGAACTTTTAGGCGGTCCAGGCATATCAACTGGAACAAATAATTCACCAGCACACTCCTTAACTTGATCTGCCAACTCCGAACAAATCGTAAACTTTTGTATCTGTAAATGATGAATTGGAAATCAAAAAAATGCCTTTTTTATACTAAATATGAGAACACTTAAGACCTGACTGAAAAGTAAGAATAGCTGAGAAGTAAACGACCTATGAGAGAATATGAGAGATAACTACACTTCCAAAAATCCTGCAGTTTTTCACTTGAAGTTTTCATTTTATGAGACATTTGAACAGTAAACGGAAAAAAGCTACAATGTGTCAGTTCCCTGATAATGACAAACACATTAGGGTAGAAAGTAGGACCAAAAGAGATATTAAGGCACCTGACTAAATAAGACAATTGAAAATAGCTAGTACCTCTGAAGCTGTTACGCAGTAAAAACCAAGACCGTATTCAGACAGCGACGTTTTCCGACAATACCTTGAATTATCCCAAGAAATTAAACAAGTGCCTTCGCTAAAAGCAAAAAAATAAACTAAATAAAAGTGCTTACACGTCGCCAATTTCTAAAGCATGTTCATACAATTGAGTACATAGAAGGTGCCGAAGAGTTGGCAAGCTCAAAATTACGATCTGTCCCACGGAATTAATTAAAGCCAACACAGGAAAGCCTCGAACATGTGTAGCGCGTGCCTAAACACAAAGAAAAGAGAATTTAAGATGCAGTTGGATGACTTAACACCAAAACAATGAAACTGCTGAAGAAAAGTGGCAAAGAAACAAGCAAAAATTTACTAGAAAAAATTTTTTAAAAATATTTCAGTATCAGGGAATTCCAGTTATATTATAGAATGCTTAACCCTAAATGTAATCTTTATCAAAAACCACATTTTAAATGCAATCTTAATCACAACCATCGAGTATTACTCCCAACTGTCTAAATTAAAAATCGTAACTTTATCTTCTTATTAAAACATCTACAATACCAGCCGTAATATTGGTACCTGTGACCTAAAGGAATGAAACAGTGGAGGTGACCACAGCTACTTCACTGCGTTCAGATGAAAACATCTGCAGTTTAATATCCTCTATCCTCCCGGAACCAAAAACAAAACGAATAGCACTTTCCAGTTGAACTTTTTTCAATTCTGACCAAGATAAAAAACAAAAAAACCATTCAGTTCAAAATATTCATGGAACACAAGAACTTCAGTATTCTAAACAGACTTCTTTCTATTCGGAAGAGTGCCAAAGTGCCCAAAAGTTGTAATTTTGCTCCTGCATTTTCATTTTTGAGCTTTTTCACTACTCTCTTATATATTCAATTACTGCTTCGTGAGGGTTGAGTTTGAACTGATCTAAGCACTCAGTCGCTGTCTGGTTAAGAAATGACTTTAACATTCTTAACTATTGCGAAGTATCTCCAGCTCTCAAAATCTGCTCGTTTATCGGCCTGCAATCAAAGTAAAATGCAAACTTAATCAAAATTAAAAATCAGAGGGTGAAAAAGAAATGATGCTCGAGCAGACTGGGAGCCAATCTCACCGACTATTAGGAGCCAATCGAAAACTGACTGCTGCAAAATAAAAAAGAATTTTAGGACTCTATGCAGAAGTCTGCACGAGTTCAAATCGCACTGCCTAGAAGCCATATTGTTTCATCTCAAGCAAAAATCGGAAACTTTGATTGCAATTTGCCAAGAAATATGTACGACAAACAGAAGCCAACTAAAAACGAAAGCTTATTTATTGATAAATCTAAATTCAGTTCCAGAATAAGTAACAGTAGAATTTTTAATAGATATGATAAGCCAAATCTTAACTGTACTTTTGGAAAATCAGCTACAATTCGGAGCGATTTTAACTGGCACAGCCCAAAGGTAATTTTCTAAAAATCTGAAATCCAAGTCTTTCAGTACCTTACGCAATATCTTCCTGTCAAATGCATTGAAGAAAACTCCCTAAAACTGAGCGCTTCAACAGGATAATGATGCAAGGCATATCTCGGTTGCTACTGCAAAATGGGTGAAAAAAGACAGAGTTAATATTGTTCCAATATCGCTACAGTACCCGCAACTAAATTCAATGGGAGTGTTATACCATTTGCTTTTTTACTGTGAGTGAACAAAAACCGGAAGATATTCAACGTCAAGTACAAGTACTTTGAGAATAGTGGAGTGTCATAGGATAAGCTGACACAGTTATTATCTTCAATAAAAAAGCATATTAGCGGAAGCAGCTGAGCAGAGTGACAACCGACGAACTATTCATCTTTCCCACAAAAGACATTTTTGGAAACGAACACTTCTCCCCCTGCCTTTGACGCATATCAACCGCATCAACATTTAACTTTTGAAAACAACGTAAAAATTTAAACTTTCGCCATTAAAACATTCAATCTCTGGTTTTAGTGGTTTCATTTGTGAAAACTATACTTTTCCTGCGATATGCAGTGATAACGCAGTTCCCATGTCGACAGAAACTGCAGAGAAGAAAAATTACCGAAGATACTTTATAAGGGGAGTTGCACCAGTAGTTTTTTCTTCCAGTTTTAAATCATATCCTCCATTGAAATATTTGTGACGTTTTCAAGTCAACAGACGACATTTGAAAAATTCCAGATAAAATCCTACCACTAGAAAATTATAATAAAATTTTTTAAAGCTAATAAATAAATAATTTAAAAAAATAGAGCATCAATTAAAATTAGGAGGCGCTATCGCAGTTAAGCGTACTCATCTCAAGAAGTAATTTCTTATCGTCGACCTATCCTCATCTTGGTAAATCGGATTATTAAGTTCGTTCGATTCACCAACAATAATCGTCAATTTTCTGAATACTTTTCAATTTTCCAACGTCCTAATGGCAAGACGTTCCTCCAACATATAAATTGCTACATAAATGTGTTTTTTTTTTTGCTGCACGTAGTGTAATGGCTAATGACTATGCGCTAGACTCGTTTTGCAATTGAACCATGTCGATCACCCCTAGAAGGTAATCCTCACTCTCCCGTACCTGCACTGCTGTAGCAGTACCTATCGCTTGAATGCCTCCGTAATGCACAATTCTTACCAAAAAATACAAACAAAAAACTTCCCAACAAGGACGGTCCCAAACTTTTTTCTTGAAGCATTTATATATTATTAACTTTTTTGAGACACCCCACAAATCCTTCGGTTGTATAACAGATCAATAATTTCTAAATGCACAGCTAAAACGAGCATTCATGCACATAAAATGCAACCTACAGTGTACGCAAAAACAGTAGTGAGCAATGCCGCTGATATATTCCGTAATTTACTTTTGCTCTTTGCTCCCACTTTCTCGCATCCATTGAAACTCAAGAGACTCCGTTGGCCTTAACGCATGCAGTAAAGCCGCTGAAACTGTCCTTTAGTATTCTGCTGTACTACCGCTAGTTTCTTGACATCTTCTTTAAAAATGCAACTGAATTTAAGGAAAAATACACCAGACTTTCTATTTTTCAAATTGGTGTAAAACTTGTCGAAAAATGCGTGTATAAAAATTTAAAGTGTTCTGTTTATTCCAACTTATTTTTCGCGCTGGAAGCTTTTACTTAATAGCAAGAAGATTTAAGCAAATCCTACAAGCTGACAGGCAGAAACTCTACTACAAAAAACTTATTTGGATATCCTAAGACGCTGTGACTACGATGCGTACTTTTTGCAAAAGAAAATGATCAAAAATGCAAAAACTGTGAAAAAGTTTTTTTTTAATAGTGAGCTCGGACAATTGAACTTTTCAGAATTTGAGCACTGCAGTTACAGAAGATGGCTATCGTCCATTACACCGTGCCTCACTGAAAAAGCGGCTTCGTAAAAAATCACAAGAGATAAAAATACATTTTAGCTTTAGCTCAATAGAAAGTTAGAAAAAAATTTTAAAAAAATTATGCAAGGTGTAGAAGCCCTAAACACAAGAAAAAAGGAAAGTAGATTAGCAGCAAAAAATTTTAGGATTGAACGCTTCCAGCTGCAAAAATGCCAAACTGGTCTTCCGCTTCTGATAACCACTTTGAAAAAATATTAAAACTCTAAAGAAAAAGTATCTGATGAAAAGTATGGAAAAATGTAAAACAAAAATATTCCAGTAAAAATCCGACACTTCCCTATCACAGCCTTCCCAATGAAGAGTTTATGGATGATTATGAAATATACTGTGCAATTGGTATTGGCTGCAAGCGTTCTAGCCAAACTTTTTAAAAGCTTTTTTAATAACTACGACCAGAGCTAAAGGTGATTGTAAAGCTTCACAAACTGTCGTTCACTGAGCAGACACAACAAGGTTCTATTAGAACAAGGAGTACAAAATAATAAACATTATGACGAGATTTCAATTCAGTTGAAAGGGTGACGCCAGAAAAAATATCCATCAAGAACAATGGAATGGTTTTGTGTTCAGCC